AGCCACCAGGCCCACAGACTTGTCTTCCTGTTTGAACTGTAGGGCACCTTAGCTGACATGGGCCTGCCTGATCTGAGTGTGGCTGGGGTTTGTCACAGGAAGCCATGAGCCTGGTCTTGGGACTCAAGAGCCTGCCATCCCCAGAGTGGGTCCTTGGCTTCCCTTCCAGGACATCACAGCATCATCTATGCCCCCAGCGCAGCAGGCTGCCCACCTGGCTGCCAGTGCTGGGGTGCCACTATGGGTCTGTAGCTCCTGTGTCTGAGTGTGCCTCTCCCAGGAGGCTCCAGGACCTCTGTCATTGGGACACCTGCTGAGTCTGGGTCACTCCGGGACAGGAGACCACCAGAAAAACCTGGGCCTGGCCTCCAGGAGCATCCAACAGGTGGCTTGGGTCATTGAGGCCATAGGGGGAGTCTTTCGCTGCAGCCAGCTATGTGGCCAGCAGGAACACACATCCCTGGGCCTCCCGTATCCCCCAGTCCTCCATGACCACAGGCCAGGAGCGGCTCTTGAGGGCTGCAGCCTGCGTTTGCTCTAGCAATGTGGCTTTGCTGGTGGAGGGCGTTCATGGTGACTCTTGCTCCTCTCTCCTGCAGGATTACATCTGCCCCAGGTGTGAGTCTGGTTTTATCGAGGAGCTTCCAGAAGAGACCAGGTAGCATAGCACAGCTCGTGGTGGTGCCTGGGAGAGTGGGGGGGGTCGCACACCTGCCAGGCCTGGGGTCCTTACTTTCAGGACACACGCCTCAAGGCAAAGGGACGATAGCCTCGTGGCACTTGGTCAGTGTATGTGTGCCCACCTCACCGCCTCCCTCACCTCATGGGGATGGCACCCACGTTCGCTGTGGTGGGGACAGAAGGCGGATTGATGCTGGAGCTGGTGTGAGCTGCTGACGGGGGTTGGGGCACTGTTGTCACCTGAGCACGTGGTGGAGTCCTAGATGGGAGGTGCCAGTGCCTCTGGTGCTGTGCTCCTCTTTCCTGACGAGGAGGATGGCTGTGTGCCCTCAGGGATGGCAAGGGCTGCTGGCTTCTGCCGACAAGCACCTTCTCTCCCCAGKAATACAGAAAACGGTTCCGCTCCCTCCACGGCCCCCGCTGACCAGAGCCGGCAGCCGTTTGAGGTGAGTGGGAATTCCAGGTCCCTGGGGCTTCAGCTATTGTCATTCTGCCACTGGCCCACCCAGCTTGGCTCCTGGTCCCCTGCCTCTCGCATCCGTGATCTGCTTAGTCTGGTGTCCACACGTCACTGTCTGCCTGTGTCCCGCCTGCTGGGGTGAGTTCTAAGCAGGCTGGACCCTCCCTGGCTCATGGAGCCCCTATGCCTGGGATGGGCCCACCTGCAGGAGGTGCGTGCCCCCCGGAGACAGGCCCCACAAGGGCTAGGTGTGGGCAGTGAGCGGGTGCAGGGGCACGGGCCTGTCCTCCGCCTCTCCTTGAGGACATGGAAAGGTGATGGCCTGGAGGCTGTGGGCAGGGTCCTTGGGCCACCCAGGTGGATTTGACAGCCCCACTGTCGTACCTGCCTTTCATCTGCCTGTCTGTCCCAGGGCTCCTTGCCTCTGTGTGTGGGGCCCTGAGCAGACCACGCAGGCTCAGGTCCTGCTCCCCTCTCCAGAACGTGGACCAGCACCTGTTCACGCTGCCCCAGGGCTACGGACAGTTTGCTTTCGGCATCTTTGACGACAGCTTTGAGATCCCCACGTTCCCTCCTGGGGCACAGGCCGATGACAGCAGGGACCCTGAGAGCCGGAGGGAGAGAGAACACCAGTCCCGGCACCGGTATGGCGCCCGGCAGCCCCGAGCCCGCCTCACCGCCAGGCGGGCCACCGGCCGGCACGAAGGCGTCCCCACGCTGGAAGGGTGAGGGGGCCTGGGGGTGGCCAGAGAGGGCCCCGCTCAGCGAGACGGGTTGTTCAGGCCCTTGGACGTAGGCATGTGTTCTGCTGAAGCCTGGGCTTCTTGCCAGGCTCCTGTGAAAGAAGGCCTGGCCTTGCAGTCCGGGGGGTCCACGGTTGCAGGAGCAGGGCTGGCCTGGCCCTTCTGACAGCCCCTCCTCCCAGAAGTCTGGCTCTCCTCACCCCAGGGGAGTTGAGCCCCACACTGCACTTTGGAGGCAGGACCGTGCCAGGTTGGGGCTGCAGCTGGCCCCGGCTTGAGGAGTTGTGTGACAGCACGTCTGGGCTGCCCAGGCCACCGTGCAATGCGGATGGAACGGCTCGCTCCCCCGGACCTCAGCAGGAGGCTGTGCTGGGTTCTTTTCGTGTTTTTTCTCCMCCTGAGGCCTGATGGGTCATCTCTGGGTGCTGGCACAGGCCCGACTCCCATGGGTGTGTGACCTGCCYCCTCTCTTCCAGGATCATCCAGCAGTTGGTCAACGGCATCATCACTCCGGCCACCATCCCCAACTTGGGCCTGGGCCCCTGGTGAGTAGCAGGGGGTGGGGGGCACACCCGCCCACCCCTGGCCTCCTGACCTGGCCTCTCGCCCCCAGGGGCGTCCTGCACTCCAACCCAATGGACTACGCCTGGGGGGCCAACGGCCTGGATGCCATCATCACGCAGGTACAGGGTGACTGCACCCAGCATTTGAGGGTTCATCCAGAGAAGGCAGGGCATGGTCTCCTCTTGCAGAGACCACCCTGGAGGTCCCTGTATCTCACCTCTTGCCTGTTACAGCCTGACATCCCATGGACCAAGGTGCTAGATCTCCCCTGGGGGCCCCGCTCTCTTTCTTTCTTGCCTGGGTACTGCCCATACTATGAGTGGACTGGGACCCTGAGCAGCCAGTAGGTAGTCGAGGCAGCAGTGGGCACAGCCACCTCCCTGGCAGAACCCGGGGCCCAGCCAGCCCGGGACCACACCCTGATGCTCTTGTAGGTCCTCCAGCCTTGCCCCATGGGCGGGGGTGCCTGCTCCCTGGGGTGCCTGGCCTTGGAGCTCCTGGCACTCACTTCTTGTCTTTCAGCTCCTCAACCAGTTTGAAAACACGGGCCCCCCTCCCGCAGACAAGGAGAAGATCCAGGCCCTGCCCACCGTCCCCGTCACCGAGGAGCACGTAGGTATGCTCTTCTTGGCCTTGGTGCCCAGGGCCTAGGTGCTCCTGCTGGGGCGGGGCCCAYGGGGGCCTGGACCCACCTGGCCCTGCCTGTCCCACAGGCTCTGGGCTTGAGTGCCCCGTGTGCAAGGACGACTACGCGCTGGGTGAGAGTGTGCGGCAGCTGCCCTGCAACCACCTGTTCCACAACGGCTGCATCGTGCCCTGGCTGGAGCAGGTGAGCCCACCCGCTGCCCGCGCCCGCCCTGGGGGCGCCAGCCTCTAACTCCCCGCCTCACCTCTGTCCCCACAAAGCACGACAGCTGCCCTGTCTGCCGCAAGAGCCTCACCGGACAGAACACGGCCACCAACCCCCCGGGCCTGACTGGGGTGAGCTTCTCCTCCTCCTCCTCGTCCTCGTCCTCCTCCTCGCCCAGCAACGAGAACGCCACGAGCAACTCCTGAGCTGGCGCCAGCTCCAGCTCCCAGGCCGCTGCGCAGCTCCGGCAGGCCCCAGGCTGCGCGCCAGGCTCGGGGACCCGGCTCTCCAGGGGACCAGAGCCCAGCCAGCCCCGGCCACGCAGCCCTGGAGGGACATCCGTGCCCAGCTGCTCCCTGCACGGAGGGGTGTGGGCCACAYGTCCCCTGCAGGGCACCAGCCTTCTGTCCCATCTCTAACCTCACCCTCCAAACGTTCAACGGTGGAAAGGTTTTTATGATTTTAAATTATTACTGCTTTGAAATAAATGGACGTTTTAGCTCTCGCGCGGCCACGCATGATCTGTGCAGCTGCTCCGCCAGGGCCGCGTGTGCCACCTGGACGGGCCACGGGGCCTCGGACCGCACAGCGAGCGCCGGCCTCGGGACCACAAGGGTGACCAGCAGAACCAGGAACAAAACTGCTCTAACAGACGTTTTTTAAAGGGAAAAAATATGTGTATCTTGAAAGCTATTTAAAATACACCTACTTGAAAGAGGAGCCGGTGGCTCGGCGTTTTCCTTCGCGCCTGTGTGTCCAGAGGGCCTGAGCGGCTGGCAGGGCAAGGGTGCCTCCCCCGGGAGCCCAGGGGCTGCACGCCTCCTGACCACAGAGCAGGCCTTGGACATCGAGTGGAGTGGTCCAGAAGGGCCAAGTGGCATTTGGTGGCAGAACTGTGTAACTGGAACCAGTGCTCCAGGAAGTCAGGCAGGGCCTCTGTTCCCAGCCCTCAGGTGTGCGTCCTCAGGACCATCCATGGCACTGGGCAGCCAGTGTGGCCTGTAGAGCAGCCTCTGCTGCCCAGGTGGTGGAGTGCCCTGGAGTCCCATGACCCCAAGGCCCCAGTACCCGGGAGCGTGGACAGTCGAGGGCTTCGCCTGCCCCATGCCTGCTGGGTGCTTTCTGGGCTTCTGTGACTGGAAGGACACCACGGTGGCCCGACCTGGTGGATGCCGTGGCAGCGCGGAGGAGGGAGGCTGGCAGAAGCAGCCCACAGTCAACCCCTACCTGGAGGCACATGGGGCCTTGTGGATGAGACGGAGCTCTGGTCCTGGAGCACCCTGTGCTGGCAGCGGGTGCTGGCAGCCAGTGCAGACCCAGGCCACCATCTGCCCTGGTGGGGGGCAGCTCCACAGCTAGGCTCGCTCCTGGGAGCTTTGAGTTGCGCAGCCTGTGGGGACCCGAGGCTTAGCTCCTGAATGCTGTCGCCTCTGGTGGCCGAAGCTGCCACCTGTGTAGGCAGTTCCGGTCCCATGCCCAGCCAGGAGGAACACAGTGAGGACTGGCTGCAGGGTGTGCCGTCCCCAGGGCCCATCAGTGGAGGGCGAAGATCCAAAGCCCCTTGGCAGCCCCTACCCATCCCAAGAGGCAGGAGGCTGGGATGATGGCATCTGTGTGTGTCCTGCTGCTGTGACACACGACAGCATCTGATGGGCTGAGACGTTTATTGTCAAACAGTTCTGGGTGGCAGCCAATGTGGGCTGCCCCGGCTAAACCCAGGCGTGGCAGGACTAGATCCTCCTGAGGCCCAGGGACAGTCCCCCTCCCCCTCCTCCAGCCCAGAGCCAGCGCGCAGCCTCTTCCAGGGCCTCTGACTTTGGCCCTCCTGCCTCTTCTCAGGAGGACCCCTGGGTGGCCCCACTCAGGGGTCTCCTCCCCTGATCCCCCCCAGAGCCCCTTGCCCTGGGAAGTGCCATGTCCACAGGCCCTGGGGGTGAGGCCTGGATGTCTGGGCTGCTGTTCTGGCAGCACGGCCGCCTGGTGGCGGGGCGACCATCCCACGCACACTGCACTGGGCCCTGCAGGCCTGCCCCTCCTTGCTGCCCACAGCCGCCCCGTGCACCCCTCAGCCTTTGCCCTTGCCAGCTCCCATCCGGGCACTCCTCCTCAGCCTGGCCTGGGCGTGCCTTCATCCTGGACGTGCTCCTCCTCGTGCTGGGCCGTGGACCCAGCTTGCCATCTGCCTCCCCCAGCCTGGGGGACCCAGTGAGGCCCCCCAGTAGGCACCCAGTTAAGGCTCAGGATGAGCGAGCCGAACGCCCTGCAGCCTGGCCCCTGCCACCTGTCTCAGGTGTCCTGGGGCCCTCCTTCCTGCCCCAGCCTCCAGGTCTGTCAGCAGGCCCTTGAGACCTCAAAGGGCTTCAGGAGACCAGGACGGGCAGGAAGTGGGTGGACAGGTGATGCCGCCGTGTGCGCATGCCTTGCCGGGGAGCCCCCCGTCCGTCCAGTGCCAGGAACATGGGCCGGCCCCGGTGGCGCCAGCGGAGTGAGGCGTAGGTGTTGTAGCCGTTCTCCTCGATGCGCTCCAGGAACCTGCAGTCGACACGGCAGACCCGCTGAGGGCGGTGCGTGAGGCCAGCTGACGCTGCCCTCTGCCCACCCCTGCCCACCACCACCCGGTACTCACCGACCCATAGAGGTGGCCCTGACGGCTCATGGCCACGTAGAAGCCTGAATGCACAGCCTTGATGGCCACGGTGCCCACGTGGACAGAGCGGATCTCCACAACACCTGCGCAGAGGGGCTGGTCAGGGCCACCACCAGCTTCCACTCCCACTAACCATCTCTCCACGTAGGCCTGCCTCATCCTCCACTCATCTGCACCCCTACTGTGCACCTGCCCGGGCAGGCTGCTCAGGAGCCGGGCATCCCTGTCCATGTCCTTCAGCTCAGGCACAAGGCTGGGAACCAGGCTCGGCTTGAGCCACCCAGGACTCCTTGGGTCTGTATGTGCTTGCAGCAGCTCGCGATCGGGCAGCCCTTGGCCAACTGCTGAGGGCCAGAAGGGCAGCTAGGCCCCGTAGAGCCACAGAGGCCTGGCTCCCTCTCCGCAGGCGCACTTCCTGCCCTGTTCCAGGGAGCCCGCTGCTGCCCTGGCAGCCCTGGACAGAGGTGCTGCCTGCACTGACTCCCCAGAGGGGCCACCACAGCAGCCTGTCAGTGGGTCACTGGACAGGGCCTGCACCATGAGTGCAGCCCCGTCCAGTAGAGGCACAGCGAGGACCCTCCCACTGTGCCTGGGCATGGTGCCAAGGGCCGACTCCAGGCGCTGCCCTCCAGCTGTTGTTCTGGACATGGAGGCCAAAGCCTGTGAGGTGGCAGTACCACCTCCACTGCCACGCCACTCGCCCTCCAGGGCCAGGTGCACAGCCCATGTGCATGGTCAGCTCCTGGTCACCATCCAAGGCTCACCACCTTCCCAGAGAGGCCGCCAGACCCCCTCCTGACCCGCATGGCCCGCTGTGAGGGCAGGGACCCTCATGCCACAGTGCACTGCGGTGCCATCAGTAACCTCCAATTCAGGAAGAAGAGCCCGTTCACAGAGCCACCTGTCCTCCATCACCCCACCCCTGTCCAGATGGGGCAGACGCTCAAGGGAAGCAGTGCCCACTCCAGGTCGCCTGGCAGAGCCAGCTCTCTCCGCCAGCCTGAGGCCACCCCGCCTGGCCATGCTACCATGGATGGACCTGCCTGGCCAGTCCCCTGTCATTGCCCTCCCCGCGTGCTGCCTCAGGGCCTTGGAGCCCCAGATGAAAGCCTCCGTGAACGGCAGGGGTGATTATGTATCCTGATGTGGTGATTCAGGTGCCAGTGACCAGCTTGCCCCCTGCCCAGACCGGGCGGCTGTGTGAAGTGACCCCTGGTCTCCCGGTGCCCAGTCTCTTCTGTGCCCGGCCTCTCCTCCTGCTGTACATATTTCACACTTGCTGAGCAGGGCCCAGAGGCCACAGCCCAAAAGCAGAGGCAGTGGGGCTTCCTGTCACTGTGAGCCTCAGCTCCACCTCCCCTGCTTGGTGGGACCCTCTGTAGCTCGTTTCCCTCTCTGTGCCTGGGTTCTTTCACCTGTCACAGGAGTCACATCAACATAGGTACTGACTTCAGTGTCAGGAGCCCAGAGTTGAGTGTCCACCCCCTGACCCAGCTGGACCACTGCAACCCTCCCTGCTGCCCATTTCCCTCCTGTACTCTGGCGACCCCCCTCTCAGAACTATACCGTTCAGACCCTTGTCTGCAGGAAGCCAGGAGCCTTGAGTGCCCCACCCTCCCTCTTACCCAGTGGGTTGCACCCACCTTAGGGCAGAGGAAACAGGCCCGAGCTAGGSAATGACTTGGTCAGCGCACCCTTTGTCAATACTGTGCCCCCGCCGCCCTCTCCGGCCTGCTGCCCCAGCGCACTTACTGTCCTGGCCGTGGCGCCAGCGGGTGCCCAGCACCCGGCCGCCGGGGTCCACGCGCAAGAAGAATTGGGTGGAGGAGAATAGGCGCCTCCAGCGCACGTCGCCTTCCAGGTGCGGGTAGCTGCGCGGCCTCCTGGGCGCGCTCGGAGTCCCCGCAGCACTGGGCGCACGCGCCAGCAGCAGCCAGGCCAGGCCAAGCCAGAGGCGGCGGCGCATGGCCCACTCCGCTCACCGCCGGCTCTAGTCTCCGGAGTCCGCGGCTCGACCTGGCTTCGCAGGGGGACGGGGGCGGGACTCGCGTTGGCCAATGGCAGTCGAGAGGTGGGGCCCATGTCTGCCTCTGGGCGGGCACAGCCCGGCAGTCAGCCAATGGGCGCCTGTGAGAGGGCAGGCCCCGCCCACGACTCGCGGCCTCAGGTGCCTGCGTTGATCTCCAGGGTGCGAGGCCGGTACAGAGACCCGAGCGACCAGAGACAGAGCTCAGGGAGAGACAGAGGCTGAGAGACAGTTACTGAGAGAGACAGACCAGGAGAGACTAAGAAACAGCGACAGGGACAGGCAGAGACCGGGAGGTGCGCGGGCAGAGACCGAGTCAGAGGGGCACCCCCAGGTGGACTCTTCTCTCCAGCTTCCTGAAAGGGGCAGCAGGGGCTTCTCTGTGGGATAGGGAGGGAGGGCTGCAGGTGGGCAGCAGCCCCAGGAGTTGGGACCAGCGGGCCAGTCCGTGGTCAGCCGAGAGGGCCGGATGACCCCCCAGAGGTTGTGGCACGTCTGAGGTGGCAGGAATGGGCGGCTGCTCACCCACGCGGGCTCCCGCTTATGGCCACACCCGAGCCCCACGCAGGCCACCCCAGCTCGCCAGCCAGCACCCACCCTCATCAGCCCGCCCGCACCCGGGGCTCCGAGGTGCGCACAGTGGCTCCACAGGCTCAGAGCCAAGAGGTGCCCSGGACAGGCCCCCAGCGCAGCGACCTCCCCGCAGCCCTCGGGAGCACATGCCCAGATCCCAGTTCTGCCCACTGCTCCCAACACCCCTGGCTTTCCTCCTGACCCCAGGCGGCACCTTAAAATAGCTCTAAGGTGGAGACCTGTGAGCAGCCGCCCTCTGGGGAGCCCTCTGGACGGGAGACCGGTCTGGCGGCTCAGGGGTTCCCCCGACTCTTCCGGCCCTGGGCGGGTCCGCAGTGGGTGGGGCCAGCCGGGTCTCCAGCCCCAGGGTGGGTAGGGCCAGGTGCCTCCACGCTAGATGCAGCCTGGCCCTGCTCCCCACATTCAAATCCTGACACCAGACCTGCATGACCTGGGGTTGTCACCTCACCCCACCTGGCTCCCCTGAAAAATGGCCAGCAAGGGACATCTGAAAGAACCAGCAGGTGATTCCAATGGTGGCAGAGGATGCAGCACTCCATGCTGAATAAAGAAGCTTCCCTTTCCTCCCCAGGGCCCTGCCCCCACCAGGATGTCCTCCGGCCCCTCCCCTCCGGAGGACCAGCGCTCACCTGGGAGGCCACTTCACCCAGGAGTCTGACTTACGTGGTTTAATAGCAGCTTGACTGAATGTATTCYGCCTGCCATACAAATCGCCCACGTGAAGTGCACAGTTCAGCATTAGTAGCGCACTCGCAGTTGTGCAACCAGACCCACTAATTCAAGAACATTCCACCACCCCACAGAGGAATCCAATGCCCATCCACCTGGAGTCCCCCTCCTGTCTCTGGACTCTCCTGTCCTGGACATTTTCTGTTAATGGAGTTACATACTGTGTGGCTTTGTTTTGTTTTGGTACCAGGGATTGAACCCAGAAGCACTTAACCACTGACCCACATCGCAGTTCTTTTTTATACTTTAATCAGAGACAGGGTCTTGCCTCAGCCTCCTAAGCCACTGCATGCCACTGCTCCCAGCTCCATTGTATGTTAGTTAGTTAGTTAGTTCGTTCCTTCCTTTTTTTTTTTTTAAAGAGAGAGTGAGAGAGAGAGAGAATTTTAATATTTATTATTTATCGGCAGACACATCATCTTTCTTTGTATGTGGTGCTGAGAATCGAACCCGGGCCACACGCATGCCAGGCGAGCGCGCTACCGCTTGAGCCACATCCCCAGCCCCTTCCTTTCTCTCTCTCTCTCTTTCTTTCTTTCCAAGAGGAATACTGGGTATTGAACTCAGGGACACTCAACCACTGAGCCACATCCACAGCCCTGTTTTGTATTTTATTTAGAGACAGGATCTCACTGAATTGCTCAGTGCCTTGCCATTGCTGAGGCTGTCTTTGAACCCAAGATACTCCTGCCTCAGCCTCCTGGGCTGCTGGGATTGTAAGTGTGCCCAGCTCCATTGTGAATTTTTGAAAGACTTTGAGCTTACAGAAAAGTTGTGAGATTAGTACAATTAATATGTGCAAACTGTACTTCTGAATTCCTCTGTTCTATATATTCCTTTTGCTCTCTATCAGCAGGAGAATGTGAAAGACATCCTCATAAATTCACACTGTGGAACACTACACAGCCACACACACACACACAAAAGTACACAGCAGGTGTCAATCTCAAACAATGCTGAGTTAAAGCAGCCAGATGTGCAGGAGCCCACCAATGTGGCCTTCCAGGACAGGTAGGACAGCAGGTGGTTTGAGGAATGAGAATGACAAGATACTGCACCAGAGGGCTTTGGGGCTGACCCTAACAGTATCCTGTCCTGTTACTGTCCTCCGGAACACCTGGTTTTCCTTTTGAGAAAACAGATTGACCTGTGGGCTGGACGTGTACACTGAGCCTCAGGTGTGCATGCCTCACAGACACACGTGACCTGGCGGGCGATGCGGGGTCTGTCTTCCCCACGTGGACACCTCTGATGTGTCACAGAACACCCCACACTTGGCCCCATGCTGTGTTCCCTGTGTCACTGCATCTGTCTCCACTAGTCTTTGTGTCATTAGCATTTTTCTTGCTTAAGTTTTTACAAGGAAGCTTGATACCATCAAGAAGTGGAAATCCATTGCCCTCTACAGACACCCTCACAATCAATCATAAAGAAACACCCTGAGAGGAACAACGCGGGCCTTGCAGGCCAGAGGAGCCCAGTGGGAGCCGTGTCACACACAGGTGGGCCCTGAGGGAGTTTCCTGAGCATGTTACCAGGAGCTCTGTGCAGGGACTGCTGGGACCCAGGAGCCTGCTCCCAGGGTCATGCTGCCTTGAGAGTCTGGTGTCCCATCCAATCAAAGAGGACTCTGAGGCAGCAGGAAGGGAGAAAGAACTTGGAAACCTTGGGGCTGGGTGGGGGCTCCGCCGTAGAGCACTCACCTAGCACGTGCAAGGCCCTGGGTTCCATCCTCAGCGCCAATATAAAGATAAAATAAATAAAATAAAGGTGTTGTGTCCGACTACATTGAAAAATAAAAATAAAATAAAATAAAAAAAGAACTTGGAAATCTTGTCTTCCACCCAGGTCCCTGGCTCTGCCAGACTGTAGGATGCAAGGTGTCCCTGGTCTAGGGGAGCAGGTCCTGCTGASTCGGCCACCCTGGGGCATTAGGAAGGTGACCCCAGGAGTAGGCAGGGTCTGAGGTCACAGCCCTGGGCCCCCTGGTGAGCCGGGATGGGTCAGGGAGGATGCTGCTGTCTGCAGAAAACATTCCCCACCCGTGGTGTCATTGTGGCCAGGCCTGCGTGGGCAGGGTGGCTGGAATGTGGCCTCCAGAGGCTGCCATCCTCACGGGGCCCGCCCTTCCAGCCAGGGACAGCCTTGCCCCAGCTRTGGGGAAGCCAAGCTCCAGGCAGCAGGAGGGGCCTCTGGAGGCTGGCCTTGCTAGTGTCTCAGTGTTGTCACCTCCTTCAGCCCTGGAGTCTCACCTTTTTCTTTGTTCTTTTTGGTGTCTTACTGGCCACACAGATTGAGCCTCCTCCAGGGCTGCCTTTAATGTCACTCTGCTCTGCTCCTCCCACCTCAGCAGGCTCCTGTCTCAGGGCCCAGTGGACAGCAGCCTGGAACCTGGCTTCCCTAGTCTTCACAGCTAGCGGGACCCTGTTGYTGGCTCCACTCTCTGGGCCTCAGTTTCCCCAACTGGACAAAAGCTTTGGCCCTTCCTAGCCTGAGAGGATCACCTGGAGAGGCTGGGGCTGAACCCAGGCTCCACAAGGCATCTCCTTTAATCCATCCTTCCTGCTCCACTCTTTCCTGGACCTGGCATGCAGCCCAGGGGTGCCTCACCACTGAGTACATTCCCAGTCTGTGTTATTTTTATTTTGAGAAAGGATCTAAGCTGTTTAGAGCCTCCCTAAGTTGCTCAGACTGGCCTTGAACTTGCAATTGTGAGAAATAGTGAGGAAGTTTTGTGGTCCATTTTCATAATATGGTATTTAGCCTTAATTGGGATGTAAGATCCACTTGTAGTTATTTTAACTACAGCCCTTCCATTTGTACTCCCCAATTTTCAAATTAGGCCATTGTGTAGATTGTAAACCCCAGTTCCTCCTATCAGGACCAGGGGGACTGCTCAGTTAGGGACACAGCAGGCAGCCTACCCATCCAGGTGCACTTCTGGCAAAAGTGAAGTTTGCCTTGGCCACCTACTTCTGGGCTTGGTATTTCCAGCGCAATCCTMCTGCCTCAGCCTCCTAACTATGTGCCACCACACCCAGTCTGCTCCTGTCTTTGGGGGCTTGGGGACTAGTGGGTCAACTGAGGCTGGAGGGAATGGATGAGTTTGAAAATATCCAGGAGGGCTGGGGTTGTGGCTCAGGGGTAGAGCGCCTGTCTAGCACGCACGAGGCCCTGGGTTCAATCCTCAGCACATGAAAATAAATAAATAAAATAAAAGTACTGTGTTCAACTACAACTAAAAATTAAATAAAGGAAATATCCAGGAAACACGATGCCCAAGCTGCCCCTCAGCTTTTCAACTGGGAGTCTGATAGATCTGGACTTTCTTTTCAGTCTCCCTAATGTTMATGCTATGCATCCTAGAGCCACCTGATCAGCCTCCGAGAACCTCAGCTTCCACAAAAATAAACTGGGGATACTAATAATGGCGCCCCAAAGTCCTCACYGGATAAATGCAGATGGACAGGCATCTATAAATTGTAGAACACTGTCCTCATTATTTATTAAACTTGCAAAAAAGAAAAAAAAAGCCAGGGTGCGGTACGCAAGCTTGTGGTTCCACGGACTCTGGAGGATCACAAATCCGTGGGCAGTCTGGGCAATTCTAGAGACCTGTCTG